TTCTTGGCCCCTGTTGCACGCTCGTAAATCAGTAAGCCTTAGCTTGGGCAAAGCCAGCTCCAGCCCAGAGCGTTATTTTTCCCAAATTAATCCTGCAGGGGAGGGTTGAAATAGCTGCTGTTACTTCTAATCACAGAGTCAACGAGGTTGGAAAAGACCTTCAAGATCATGGAGTCCAACCATTGCCAGCACTAAACCGTGCCGCTAAGGGCCTCATTCACACATTTTTTCACACTTCCAGGATGGTGACTCTACCACTTCCCTGGGAAGCCTGTTCCGATACTTGACAACCCTTTCAGGGAAGAAGTTGTTCCTAATATCCAATTTAAACCTTCCCTGGTGCAGCTTGAGGCCATCACCTCTTGTCCTATCACTTGTTACTTGGGAGAAGAGACTTGTTACTTAGGAAAAGCGTGTACAAACGATGAGCTAATGACCACTAACAGCAGGGAGAGTTTGATGCTTTTATTTGTAGTCCTCGCTCTGGGCATTGCCTTCTCCAGTGACCTTGTTTGTAGCCAAGTTTGTGTGTGCACCCACCAGTACTGACTCCCTGGCTGGTCCAAGATCTTGCAGCTGTTTTCTCTGTGTGGTTTCTAGTTCTTCCAACTGTTTGGGAAGCAGGGATAGCTCTCTTTGATGCTGCTCCTCCTTGAAATTAACAACAAAGTAGCTCTATTACATTTTGCATACTTAACAAGGGACCAAAATGAGCAATAATTTTATTTTCTTTCATTCATGATTTTGAAATAAGAATTGTGAAGTCCAAAATATTCTTATTTGCTAAATTCAATGTTTTGTGGGGATCTTTCTGATATTCATGATGAACAGCATCAGCAAGAAATGTGTATAAGTAAAACTTTTTCAACCACACAACATGTCAAGAGCAGCAATGCTGCTTTTTAAGAATGAAACTGTGGTGTGAGAACACCATTGTGGTATTTCTTGCTGAGGAGAATCCATTTGAAGCCTCTCAGGAGCAGAACCAGGTATAGAGACCCATGTTAAAACTGCCAGTCTGCCACATTCTGTAACATATCATTCATCTTTCAAAAACTCCCTCCTACTGCAAGGAAGGGAATGTCACTAGAAGTGTTCCTCAGGTTTCTCTCTCTTCAAAGATCAAATATTCCTTCCTAAAGACAAAGATCAGTAATATTTTCACAGCTTGTAATACATCCCCACCTGAAAAAGGGAGGACACTTCAGGCCCAGGAGGCAAGGTAGACGACAACATTGGACCAACTGGATTGAGGGACGGTGTGCTAGGATTCAGAATTATACTCCGGAATTCACTGTGCCTACCTTGCAAGTCCTTTAGTCTCTTCTGGAGGCGTGCATATTCTTCATAGGGAAGAAGAGATTTCTTAGTGCTCAAAATCTTTATTAGCCCAACACAGCAACACACCTCTCCACGAGTACTCTGGCTTTTCACTATCCTATGAAGCAAAATTACATACTAGAACTGGAAGGTGGAAAACTGTATATTTTTCTACCCAAATGTCTATTTAAAAGTCCCTCTACATATTTTACAGCTATCTGCAGATTACAGATTAGAATTTACATGGAATAAATTAAGCTTTTAATAGCATTCACAGTACTGAGCCACAGGAGCCACATTACATTAATTATTGAATCAAGCCCTCCGTAGGTGTTCAATGAAGAGAAAAAAAAACAGGAGTTTGTCTTTCAAAGAGAATACTAAGTAAGTCTGTTTCCCTTGCAGTTCTGAAGTCTTTTTCACTCCCTTCTTTTGCAGGGATTCCTGTAACTGCATCTATTGGATCATTTTCCTTTCTTTTTGAGGAGACAGTCCTGCAGTTGGCTTACAAACTCACAGATACCCATCATAATGGACTCCATGCTAAGAATTCTAGTGCTTAAAATGCCATTAGACTGTATTACAGTTACCAAACCAAGTGTCATGTATCTTCAGAAATACTTTATAACTCAGCCCTTCAGCATATGTAATTTTTCAAGCAAAGGAAAGCAAAGGTTATTACCTCTTTAGCAGCCGATTTTGTTTTTCTAGTTCTTCTATCTTGGCTTCTGAAAGTTCTAGCTTCTCTCTCATCCTCCTTTGCTTATTATCATTGAGAGTCTTTCTCTGTCAAACAGGTATTTCAAACAGTTAAGTAATGCCTCGATACATTGATACTGGTCATGCAAAAACTATATCTACAAAGTACACTGTTTCAAGCTGTGACTGGTTTTAGGATTTTCCTTCCTTAAGAAGGGGTGCTGGGCTGTTTGAAAGTTCTGAATCCTGTGATGGGAAACAGAAGAGATGGGAAATGATCCATAGCTGTCAGTCACTCACTGGTCAGTGACCAGCTCTACTAACAAGCACTAACTGTATCTGAGAATTACAAAATTCATTCTCTAAATGACCACATACAAATAAGTATAAACATGACGAAAACAATGTATCCTCTTCCTTTTTTCCTCTTGTTGATCTCAATTGTTTGCAACCTTAAAAGCCACTGGCAGATTCCATAACCTGTTTATGTCCAATGTATAAAATTGTCAATTAAGCTTTTATAAACAATCAGTTTTTCCTTTCCAGTTATTTCATAAAAAGCAAGCTTAGGAGAAATACAATTTTCATAGTCCATCAAGAAAAAGTAGAAAATCATTTGTCTAGTGTCAAAATATCATCCTTGCTATTCAAGGAGTCCACCTTTTAAATAAACCTACACACGCGCGCACACAAAAGAGAGTGTCAGAACATCTTGATGGCATTATAACAAAGTTGTTGGCGGTAATATTCTTTTGCATATCACTTCAACCAATTTCTATGCTAATCTTGAAGAGCCTGATGTATTTGTTATTATATACAATAGACTGCAAATAAACTCTTAAAACAATGTTAGCTGGCCAAAGTAAAGTTGAACTTTTCATAAGCCAGAACATTGATGAAAGAAGAGTCAACCTGCCTTTTTCTGAGGAACAGCAGTTCGATACAGCTTGCTCTTCATTTGGTTGTATTTCTCTTCTTTTTCTGTCATGCGCTTAGTAATCAAGCGCTTCTCCTCCAGCTGTTCCATTCATTTGTATTCGAAAGTCCTTTGAAAAAATCAAGTTAAAAGATTAAGAGGTTATACAAACAGAGCAGTGCATTTGGTTAATGGCTTAAAGTTCTTAAGACAGATGCATCTTTTCCTACCTTTATATACTTGAAGGATCTAATTTAAATTTGATGGTGGTCACAATCTAATTGTGACTATTGACATTCAAACCCATGCATTAACATCATCTTAGGTTTTGTCCAACCACGAGGCAAATTTTGAAAAGCAATTCCAAGAAGCAACTGTTGGCTGCTTTTTGGTTCAGCATACTGCCAAACTGACAGCAGAAAATTCCCGAATCTGGATAAAACAATCCCACTGGAACATAAGAGCAGACACCTACGCCAAACATCAGTTGTCAGAAGAGCTGACAACTACCTTCTCTCTTTGGGTGGCAAGATGTAAAAGAATGTGTTGCTGCCCTGTGCAGATTACTATGCCTTTGAAACAGAAGTACAGGCTTGACTGTATGTGCTCCCAACCAGAACAAACACCAACACAACAGGAAGCTCACAGCAATATGGCTCTTAGACAACACTCCAGCTGAAAACACACCACTAGCAGCATATGTTATGTGGTTAGGCCTTTGCATAGTTAAAACATACTAAAATTAGGCTGTGTTCTCTAGCAGCGGATAGGAAATGAGTGAGTTTCTCTCTGCTGCTGTGTTTGGGTTATCTGCATTGTGGGTCAAAGTAAACTAACAGCATATTTAACGATACGATAAAAAAAAAAAAGAAGAAAAAAAAAGGTGAGATTCTGTGCAGCAGTTTTTAAGAAATGCAGTTCAAGGTTTAGTATCAGTGAATCCTTACTACTCCAATCCTGGGCCAGTGTGGTTTCCCTACAGGGACTCTGAATATATCTCCATCAATTTCTCAGCAGACAGCCTTTCCCTTCCCCATAGCTAAAGTATTAGTCATCATCCATTCTTAGGGCTAGGATCCTGATCCACCTGGTACCTGTCACAGTTTCTTCAGTAGACCAAGTGTGGTTTGTACCCTGCTGTTGACTGTAAATAACTATCTACTACCCAGGAGCCAAAGAGCTTTGTCAAAAAGCACTGCTTACCAGTAAAAGAATTTCAGTGGAGACAGCGGTTAAATGCCACAAGTTGGGTTATTTTGTTTTTCTAAATGCTATCACTGTTCCTGAAATGCTTCACAAGTGCCTGACTGAGCTAGTCTCTGAGCTGTATCAATCTGTTTGCCTTCAGCCCTTTTTCTCATTTCACATTTTCATTTCCAAGCCTGAGACTGACACGATCAGGCAGCTGCTTTACCTGCTTACAGCCCATCTGGCATTATTTTATTCATCTGAAACTTTATCTTAGGCTTTCTTATCTTTTGGTCTTTATTTCACTTCCTCTCTAAGCCGAGTTGCTTTGGTGCCACTTAACTCTTGGAGTTCAAGTTTGTAAGAATTACTGAGCTGAGGAAGGAAGTCCTATCACCACAGAGTCAGAAGAAGAATGGAAATAATGTCTCACGGCTCCCAGACTAACAGCAGGACAGACCTGGAGGACTTACAGGTAGCCTGCAAAGCGGCTTAATTTCTGCAGTATCAGCCTTGGTGCATCTCCTTTATCTACCTACTTATACAAGGATCTCTGAGGACTGCCAAGCTCCTTCCACTGCCTTCTTCGGAAAACCTACTCCTGGCTGGTCTATAGCCCATAAATATCTAAATGATAGTTAGTCTCACTCAAATAACAGTGAAAATCTCACTCAAAATGGGAATACATCTTCCTAAAGTAAATGTCCAAAGTATTTAACATCCTACTGACAACTGAACACAGCCTGCAGTCCCAATGCAGTAATTTCTTCAAATGTTAAACTGAAAAGCAATACTTAAGCTAAATACAACAAAGCAATTATAGTACCAATTTGCAGCAAAAAGATAAAATAAAAAAACGCCCCATTATATCTTTGGAAGTTTTCTATTTAACTGGGATGCTAACTTTTTAAAAAACTCACCACACAATAGTCCAATACAAGCTAGACATGTATTTGGCTATATAAATACACACACATACAGACTGGGTTCCTGAAACCTACGAAAGCATAATACAATGCTTAAATGCTTTATTCACCCTTAATGCTTAAACATTCTTAAAGGAACTGTGTGTGAAACTCTAGATCCACTTAAACTAATGTAAGTTTGACATTCATTTCAGTAGAAATAGGATTTCATTTTATACAAATAGTATATTTCACTATTCAATAATTAATTGTATAGACATAAATGGAAACACACTTCTATTTTGTTATTACTCCCACAGGGGCTTGCAGAAGTGGATGCCATGGCAGGGGGGTTGGAACTTCATGATCTTAAGGTCCTTTCCAACCATAACCATTCTATAATTCTATGATTTTTGAAGTTACCACAAGCCAAACTATTACACATACTGCATATCAGAATGTATAGCCATTTATTACAATTGCCTGCTATTTCCTGTTCATTTTTAACTTTTGGCTTTATTAAAAATCCGCAGTCCACAGCTAAGTAATCCATGTGAAAGGAACACAAGCAGTATCAAAAGGAAAAGTAAAGCCAAAAGGAAGAAAACAGAATATTACTCTGCTTCTAGTTGAGCTTTTTCGGCCTGATTCTTTGCATGTCGACATTCTTGTTTCAATATCTCTATTGTTTCCTGCAGCTTCTGATTAGACTCCAGCGAATTCTTTTCTGATTGAGAAAGTGAGGTATTCTGGAGTTGCATGTCATAAATTTGCTACAAAAAAAATATATCTTTTTCCATTTGAGAAGGTATGCAAATAACTAACTGAGATAAATCAAAACACAGACACCAAATGACTGCATTAGCTTTCCATAAGCCTTTCTTATTTGTTCCTTATTGCCTTACTCAACAGCTTCTCCAAAAGCGTTACAGTGTATCACTACTAGACAAAGAAGGTTTTCTCTTGCAGTTAAAATGAGAAAGGGAGGCAGCAGTCTTCAGTCATTGATGTGGCCCCTAGAACTTAAGAAATCCAACATTAAGCCTCGGGACTGGACAGAACTAGATACCACACATTTAGTAGCAGTGTTTTGGAGCTATGCAGACTTTTCTATCTGTATGTGTTACAGCCAGCCTTGGCTGTTCACAAAAACAAGTATAGAGCCTGAAAAGTCCAGCCTCTGCAATCAGCACACAGAAAGGGTAGTTTCCCTTTCCTTTGCCTCTCCCCACATGGATACTCATACCCTAATTTCTGATTTGTGGAGGAAAAAAATATTGCCTAGAACTTCAAGTGCACACAGCTTGCAGAATATTTTGATGCACAGCTACGTTCTTACCTACTAAATGACATCATGGGTGAGCAGGAGTTAAAAAAGGTTTTATTTTCAACACTGCCATCAATTCACTTTCCAATAGAAATATACCTCTTTACACTAGTTTATTCATTTATGAAACATCTGTTAAGCACTTGAAGAACCTCAGATGAGAGATGCAGTGTAAATGCAAAGCATAACCTAGAAACAATTTATAAGTCTCCATGGAAACAGAATCTCCAGTTAAATAGTCCATAACTGTATTCAACATAGAGCTTTGAAATCCTTGGTACCCACAAAACAAATCAAGCAAAAACCTGTAATTCATTTATAAAGATCTAGGAAAGCATGACTGATTTCTGAACACTTTTAAGTACCTGTTCTATGTGTTTTGTCCCTCAGAAAAAAAAAAGGCCTTAAAAATTCAATCTAATCTTCACATGCGGGGCATGGTGACTGCAGAAAAGATTCTTTTTCTCTATCAAGCTCTACAATGTGGTTGTAGTAGAAACCTTACTTGTTTCAGATGAGCACTTTCATGTTTCTTTTCTTCCAACTCCTCTATTTGAATAGCTTGCTGTTGTATTTTTAATCTAAAATTGTACAAGACATCCTTATTTTTACCTAATCAAAATATAGATGTTAGAAGTTAGGACAAATCAGCCTGACAATAGAACGTGTTCCATAATTTGAAAGGCTGCTAAATATGTAACTAAGCAACGATTTAAAATGTATTTTGATTATTAGAATTCATATGGGAGTAAGAAATACATTTCTTTGTTTGCTTTTTGAAGTATCACTTTTGCTCATTTTATCATATTGACCATCATAAAAACACTGTAGTATAATGACTTCACCAAGAACTCAACAAACTCAAAGAGGTATCGTATTAGGATCCCAATTTGCCAATTGCTGATAGGGTGCCATTGTGGAAAGATAAATGGTTTAGTCTTGGCTGCTAGCATAGCCCCAGCATTACATGGACCCAATTTTATCAAACATGAATATTGCAAAGTTGTCTTAAAAATGTTCAGGAAATTATAATCATTAAAGGTTTGGATGAAAATTGTTTGGGGTTCATTGGTTTTTTTTTTAACAGAGCATTTTTTAATTCTGCCCCCTTTTTACACAATGCAAGATATAATGCTGTTTAATTTAACATAATTAACATTTGTGTATCTATGAATAGCAAACTTTTATATTGACTCCTACAAAGAAATAAGGGGGGAAACTTAAGAAATTCATGTTAAAAGTTAGAAAAGCCATTCTACCGCAAACACTGAAGTTTCTTTCTGCTAGATTCTTAAGTCATCTGTAACACACGTAGTTTCTCTTCATACTGATCCTTTTCAGATTGTCTCAAAGTATCTTGTCCCAGTTTCATCTTCTCTAGATCAGCTAATTTGTTCTCAAGTTCTAACCTGAGACATCATTCAACATGCACACAAGTATCATGATTAATGCTTAAGTGTTTAGTTGCCAAGAATAACATTTTAAGAAGTTACACAAAACACTCTTCTGTTAGAAGGCGAGCAGTAAATCAACAAACATACTTTTCAACCTGTAAGACTGCAATTTTTTCAGAAAATTCCTTTTTTGCAAGCTTTCACTTTACGAATTAGCTCCTGATCCTTTTCTACTAAAAGCTCCTTATGATATTCACCAGCTGCCTTAAGAATTTCCATGTCTGACAGCAATCCTGCATTATACAATTCAAAAAAGGTTAAAATGTCATTATGAATATCAACCTAATGAAGTTCAGTATTAAAATTGTTTTATAAATTGATAAAAGGGAGCTAAAAATCACAATTCACATGACAGAATGAAAGAACGGGGAAAATCCAATGAAAACAGACGGACGTGGCCTTTCTTCGTATAACAGCAACATTTCGAAAACTTTTGAGGAGTAATCAGTGCACTGGAATCTCTGCCTATGAGGGTTTATTATTTTAACACACTTGGAGTATTGTGTACAGTTCTGGTGTCCTCACCATAAAAAGGACATGGAACTGTTGGAACAAGTCCAGAGGAGGGCCACAAGGATGATCATGGGACTGGAGCACCTCCTGTATGAAGATCGGCTGAGAAAGAAAGAGAAAGAAAGAAGAGAAGGATGCGTGAAGATCTTATAAAAGCCTTCCACTATCTGAAGGGGGCCTATAGGGATGCTGGGTATGGACTCTTCATTAGGGACTGTAGTGATAGGACAAGGGGTAATGAGTTCAAACTTTAACAGGGGAGGTTTAGGTTAGATATAAGGAAGAAGTTCTTTACTGTGAAGGTAATGCTCCATCCCTGGCAGTGTTCAAGGCCAGGTTGGACAGAGCCTTGGGTGCCATGGTTTAGTGTGAGGTGTCCCTGCCCATGGCAGGGGGGTTGGAACTTGATGATCTTAAGGTCTTTTCCAACCCTAACTTTTCTATGATTCTATGATTATTATAGATTTAAACTCTAAAGCAATTTCTGTTAAGCAGTTGTGTCTGGATAGATTAAAAAAGTGTTCCACAATAGCTACAAAAAGGTCAAGCAAGAAAGTTTTTCTTTTATGGAAAAGTTTATGGGAAACAGTAATTGGTTACCAGTGAAACCTGGTTACAACAAATCTCACATTTTAATCCACTCATATTACCAAATGGGGCAATTCTAAAATGATGAATCTATAGGCTGGGACATAAGATGCAAATTAAAAACTGGTGGTGACCAAGGCACCTGTGTTCACTGGCAAATAAACCAACATGTGCAACAATGACTCCTGGTTATATAGCTAATTCAGTCATGCAAACTGGATTCCACAGCAAGTTCAGGACAACTTAAATCATGTCTGTATTTAGTTTCATATTTCATAGGGTTTGATATTCTTAATTCACAATATACTGTGTATGCATTGTCAATAGATAAAACACTACCTTTTAGTAGCTCCTAGAGAACTTAGTATTAAAGCAAGCAAGCAGAAACAACTATCCCAAGAAGATGAAGGTACTGTTTTGGGGTTATGGCACATCTGTGAGGACAGACCACCAAAAGCTGTGTAGTAATTTAAATCAACACATAACTAGTACTAGATAGCTTTGGACTTTTCACTCTAGAAAGCTATTTCAAGTTGCCTACATACTCAAATGTACTGAGTAACTTTGAACATTGTCTATTTTCTTCAAAGAATGAGCTAGAAATTGTATTTTGTTTCACATGGCAGCTGTACCCAATTGTTATCAATTCCATGGACACAGAATCAGAAAACAAAACAACCACTGAAATTCTATGATGTGTTAAAGTTTCAAGCAAAGTGTCGAAGACAAGAATTTGGCAATAATAGAAAAAATAACCAGATGAAGTGCATGATTTGAAACAGATTATGTTCAAATTGTGTCACAGATTCACTGATTTATATAAATGCAAAACTGTTCTGTAACTGCTCTTACTCTAGTAGACAAAGTGCAACAATACAATTATTTCACATACAAAATGAGTTGTCAGATCTATGACCTAGACCAGAAGTAGAAGGTGAAGATTGTTGGGGAATGTTTGGAGGAAAATAATTGTAGTATTCTACCTAGAAGTTACAAAAGAAATAATTAGAAAATAATTGCATGTTTTACCATCCATTTTGCTTTGAATCTTATTTCTCTCTTTTTCTATTTCACTCTTTGTTCTTGCTGCCTCCACTTTGATGTTTGTTACTTCCAATTTATGTGAATGTTTAAGTTCTTTTACCTATGAATTTAGGGGGGGGCAAATAACCAAAATAAATATATATACATATTCACAGCTTTACTGCAATTTTTTCATGTGATACTTTGCTAACATTATCTGCTAAATGTCCCAGATAATCATGGACGAATCTTATTTTAAACATATCTTAATTTTTTTTTCATCTACTGTTTTCCTAAAGGCAATCCTGAATACCCAGTCTTGTAGATAATTTTTAATGGCGAGACAAATTTTAATGGTGTTGATATAGAGACTGTAACACTAAAGCTGTTGACATGATCTGATTCCCCAAATTATAGTAAGTACTATTACAGGTTTTTATTAACTCCTCAAGTTACACACTGAAGACTACTGAATCATCTTGATTACTGAGTCATCTTGAAATGCTATTTTCTATATTCTCTGATTGAAAAACTTAAAGTGCTCAAACAGAACATCCATTCCAGGAAGCAAGCTGTCCAACTATTGACATGTATTTCATCTTTAACCAGCCAGTTATTACAAGCTGCAGTGTAGAAAAGTTACTGTTTCACAAAGTCTTGGTGATATATACACAGATGCGCAGGATTGCCTCTGAAAACTGGGTTTCTGAGTAAATACTATACACTCTGCAAGCCAGCCTCTGAATATCTGGGTATTTCTGAAACGACTACTCATTGGGAATGTCTTCATACGACACTGATCCAAACTGCGTAAGACCCTGATGCCTCGCTAACTCAAGCATTAGCATGTCAGTTTACACATACTTCGCTTCTGACTACAGATCCCTCAAACTTACACAAACTTAAATATAACCCCCCTGAGTAAAACAAAACAATGATACACAAAACCGTATTATCAATTGCTCCCCCAACTAATTTCAATTGGTAACTACTTATAGTCACTCTGGCCTCCTGGGGTGCCACACTACTTTCTCAAAATCCAGGTCTTTATAGTTTTTTAAAATGCATTTCAAATCAAATACTTCCCTACAACTGTGACATACATAGAAAATGGCCCCAATAAAAGCAGGAGTTTTAAGAACATCAAATCAAAGAAAATTACTGCTTGCATGGAAACTTTCTATAGTTTAGGCATTTGTACGCAGTAATTACACGGTCAATGAGAATTAAGTATCTAGAGGAAAGCACTTACAATGAACATCTATTCACAATGACAAACGTAATTACAACCTGCTAGCATATACAGTGGCAAAAGGTTAAGAATGACATACTAGCTTATTAAGTAACTACATGGTGGATTTGGATCCTTAAATACTAAGTTGTGAACATTTCAGGGCAACTTGCAAAGATTTAAGGTGGTTTTTTTAAGGCACAATGTCTGGAAGACAAATGTACTCAGGAATAATTTTGAGTGGGTGCTGAAGGGGGTGGAGGTCAGTATAGAAATTAGTATCTACTTTCTTCCCTTCAAGAAACACCACTCAACATTTTACATTTCTCTACTTCTTTCTGGAAGTGAGCAGAAAACACCACTTGATACAAAAAGTAAAGACTTTAAATGATCCATATATTCTGGTAGACAATTGACTAAAAAATGTTTAGCAGAAGTTCCTCTCCTATTTATTACTCCTGTGACATAAGTATGGCACATTGTATAAAGTGGTTTTAAATAATGTTAGAGGTTTAGCCTATTCTTATGGTAAATTAAAACTTTTTTGGATTAAGGACCAAAATGAAATCCCTCATAAATGTGAACTGGAAAGCCTGTTTTGAATTAAATCTGAGATTGTTAAAGAACAACTATGGTAGAAGTTAAAAGTTTTCTTCCTGTATTGTATTTTTCTTGAGATATCTTATGACAATACTAACTTCTGTACCCATACAAAGCCCACGGCTTTGTCATTTTGGAGTGTACATTAAAAAATGCAGGACAGCTTTATGTCAACAAAGAGCTGAAAATAAATCTGCATTCAGACACACATACAAGGCCAAAGTGCCTGGCTTTACAGTTACTTCGTAACTAACTAAAGCCTCTCCAGGAAGGTAAGAAAACAGGGAATTAAATTTGCTACCAGAAACTGACAGATGTGGTAAAAATTTATCTCACAGTATTCTCTAGAGAATGGAGGGGATAAAAGTAGAAAGCTACTATTTACCCAAGTAACTTCCATCAGTTCCATCAGTTGTCCAGATAATTTATTAATTTCAGATCAGCATGATGTCTCAAATTCCATCATAAATGCAATTAAAAAAATCATTAAGCAAGGCTACTGACTGTCATTTATCAGAAGGCAAGTCTATTCTAACTTACAATAGCACAAATGATATTGCGACACATCACTGAACAAACCCACAGAGACAGCTTTAGGCTAAGTCATAAAAGTGTTTTGAGAATTGAGAGAACAGAAATAAACACAACATTATGAAATGGCATCATACTGACAAGCCATCAAGTACCAACATTTTCACAGTGTTCAAGCAGCTTTGTCATCAGATATATTTTAAGCTACAGCAACTTTCTATGTACCTCAGCTTCATATTGTATTTTCTTCTAAAATACATGAATATTCTTCCTGTTGATGTTCAAATTCTGACTTCAGAAAAGCATGTTCTTAGTGAAGTTTGTTATACTCTCTTCTGTATTTTTCTACTTCCTAGGTTAGACAGAAAAAACACAAAAATATCAATCAGTGATGTTTTCAGCTTTATATTCTTCAAATGTCCATTCAGTGTTCCTGTCATTTCAAAAGTTATATTTGATGAACTGAATCCCTCCCTCTCCCTCTTCCAGGGTTTCAACAGTCACTGCCTGGGGCAATAATACCAGAAAAAGAATGTTATACTTTGCTCCCCTTTCAGTTTTGATTTCCTAAGGTTTGAGGAACAGCTATAAACTGGTGATCACTACTCTAAAAGAAATAGAATTTCAATACATACTACTTACATTTTCTAGCTTCCGATGAAGTTCTGCCATAGAAGATTCTAATTCCTCCTGTATTTGTGCTTTTAACAGTTCTAATTTTTGAGGAGTTATCACCTTAAGACAGAAAAGTATCATAAATAACTAGTCGTAGTAATTTATTTGCACTGTCATAGGACAAATAGCCAGGAATAAAGTATTTCAAATATGATTTTAGGAATCTTACTTAATATTCTATGTTTTTCTAAAGACTTTTCAGTAATAGTTACAGAAGAAAAAAAGATGTATTAGTAAACTACAAATATTCTGGGAAGATAACAGAAGCATTTAAAACATCAGTATTTACTGGTAGAAGCAATGCAAATGTCAAGAGGAATCACCAAGAGATTTATGTCCTGGAAGGGTGGGGGGATAAAGAATTAGAGCTTGGGAAAACATAAACAGTATGGGAACCAACCTGAAAGAATCAAAATGAGCAATACCAACCCAATTATTTGTAAAACACATTAGATACAAGGTATCTGTTGGAGCTTACGTATTAGACTGAAATGAAACTAAGATCAGGAAAGATTCCCTGCTTTAAGCTCCATGCTACATAGTGATTTGTTAACTTTTCTTGGGTATGGCTAATACAGCAAACTATCTACCAAGAAAAAGTGTTACCAAAAAACCAATCTCATCCACAACCTGTGACATATTCCATTTATTCTACTTCCCTTCCACTTGTACCCTAAAGTCCCTGAAAATTAATTCTAGTTATAGTAGCAGGGCATGTATCCTCCAGTCAGAGTCTGGGATCCTTTCTTAGATGATGAATTTGTTTTCTAAGAACATTGGAAATGTTCTTAGAAATGTTTGTGTATTAGTTTAAGGAAAAAAAACAGTTATAGAAGGTGTCACCCAAGTTACCTTAAAGATTCAGGGGTTTTTACTTGTTCCTGTGTTTCTTGGTTTGGTGGAATCTTTTTTAAGATAGAGATGATTCTCCCCATAACAGGGGAGCATGCACAAAGACCGAAATGTCTTGCTATTAACACAGGACATAACAAGAGAATTTGGAAGATTCAGTTAAACTAGAAAACAATAATTTCAATCCATAGTCAGTTACCCTAAAGAAGAAACATTACTTGGGTTGGGTGGCTTTCCAGACACCTGAACTATATTCAATCTAGGTATATACATGTTACATAAACAGAAATATATACATGCCCTATTAAAGGACCTAACACCATAGTAGGGCCTGACAGTAAATTATCTCACCCGCATCTTCAGATTTTCCAGCTCTCGTGTTTTATCTAGCAACACCTCTTGATATTCAGAAAAAAGCTGCTGAATATTCTCTTGTACAGTCTGCTTTTCGGCTAACAGTTGTTGTGATTTTGTATATTCCTCCTGTAATCTGCAAGACAAAAACAATTTATTTTACATTTACTCTCTAAAATTAGATATTAAAGCTCAAAAAACTCACATGCAGAAGCAAACGTCAAGTTAGAACTGAACTATTAATATCCTCTTCTGTAATATACTGAAAAGGTATCCCATATTTACAAGCATAACAAGTATTGCAAAAACATAATCTGCAATGTCTTGAGGTATTCTGAATTGTTTATTCTCTAATATAAACAATGCTCTGTCCTTAAATACATAAATAGCTAACACATGCAGGCACAAATCCCTCCCACATATTAACAGTTGAGATTAAGAAACCTGTTTAAATTACCTTAGATTTTCTGTCTTCGCATTTTGATAATTTACTTTATAGTATTCACATTGCATTCTTTCCTCATTCAGAAGTTTTAGTAAGTTTTCTAAATCAGTGGTATCACTACTTTCAGGCATGGAAGGAAGAGGACTACCTGAAGCCTCCATTTTATGAGTGACCGTTCACAACAAGTATGGAGAAGACAAAATTGAAATTAACTTATAACTAATCTACAATGCCATCCACTTTTTCTGCTGTTATCCGAGAAGATCAAGTCACCTGATGAAATACAAGGACATGTAATTAGCAGTCAAGCACATTCATTGTTCAAAGATTTCACATGCCACTTTTGCTTTCAAGTACAGAAGACTCCTGGTTCTGCTGTAACTCAGGTTAGAGACCTTTACCAAAAGAGCAACTCTGTTCATTCTGCCTAGTCCCTACCAGGGACATGAATAACATGGATATTATTGAAGTCAATACAAAATAAGCACAAGTACTTCTATCTGACAGATCACATGGAATGTTATTTTTCCTTATGCTGTACACTGAGACTCAAACTGTGGTGCTAGTAGTGCCCTAATTATGCCCTGTTAATCAGAGATAAAGCAAAGGCCAAACACATCAGACACATAGTGCTTTTACTACTCCTGATTACAAGTCACAGTCTGTCACACTATCCTAACAAGTTGCACTACTCAGTACATTCATTTGCACATACAATACATTCATCTTCCAATTGAAATGATGATACTACTCAATACCATCATTTCAGTTGGAATAAGAGGAGATCATTCTCACTGCTCAGTTCTTATCAAGCCCTCCCTGGAGAAGAGTTAAGGCTACACAGACAGTCTGGAATATGCTAGTCCAAAATTTAGCCCTGAAATACATCATTAATGCATAGTACTTCCTTGTTTTCTTGTGGTTTCTTGTGACCTTTCCAGAAAGTTTTGCTAAATGTGACAGTATCAGATTGGTGTGAGAAAGCTTCAAATCAACAGATGCCAAGAAATGAGGAAGTATTCTAACAAGCCTCATTAGTTCTTTTCAGTATTAGAAGCAAGATACATTAATCTGATCATTACTGACACTTCTAAAGGATCTAGGAGAGTGAGGACTGTAACTGAGTTTTAGGGAAATTAAAAAGCTTTGAAACTAACTCCTCTGCTATTTTAGCTTTTGGCATAGCTGGACTGATGCCTAAGAACACCATGGTTGCAGTGTAAAAAGTGTAATTCAAAGTTTAAAAGTGCAATTCTGTACAAAGTAAAACTCAGTAAAAATGTTAGATCTCCACCATCACTGTAAATACGTCATCTTCTTTACATATACACTTAAATATAAAATGTTTTCTTCCATTCCACTCTTTAAATCTTTCATGTATCTATCTTTAAACACTTACCATGTGATTTTATAAATCCCTGAACTATAAGCAAGTTGAAAATTTATCTTCCATATAGGAAAATAAACACTGTATGTCAGTGCCTATTCCATTAGAAGACATAATAATGTCAAGAGAGTCTGATATGTAAGTTTACTTTCCTATTTTTCTTTTCTCCATTACTAAGATGGTGTATTGGGTTTTGCAAAGTTTTGATAGCAGGGGGGCAACAGGGGCAGCTTCTGTGAGAAGTTGCCAGAAGCTTCCCCCATGTCCAACAGAGCCAATGCCAAGGGCTCCAAGACAGACCCACTACTGGGCAAGGCTGAGCCCATCAGGGATGGCGATAGCACCTCTGGGATAAGATAGTTAAGAAGGGATAAAAATAGTTACTGAGCAGAAGCAATTGCAGTCAGAGAAAGAGGTGAAAATATATGAGAAAACCAACTCTACAGACACACAGGTCAGTGCAGAAGGAGGTGAGAAAGTGCTCCAGGCACCAGAGCAGATTCCCCTCCAGCCTGTGGTGCAGCCCATGGTGAAGCAGGCTGTGCCCTGCCTCAGGCATGCTCCATCCCTGGCAGTGTTCAAGGCCAGGTTGGACGAGGCCTTGGGTGATATGGTTTAGTGCAAGGTGTCCCTGCCCATGGCAGGAGGGTTGGAACCTGATGATCTTAAGGTCCTTTCCAACCCTAACCTATGATTCTATGATTCTATGGTGAGATGCAGCACATGGAGGTCCACGATGGAGCAGATCTCCACCTGCAGCCCATGCAGGACCCCACACTGGAGCAGGGGGATGCCCAAAGGAGGGTGTGACCCTGTGGGAAGCCTGCACTGGAGCAGGCTCCTGGCAGGACTGTGGCCCCACAGAGAGAGGAGCCCACGCTGGAGGGGGTTTGCTGCAGTACTGGTGACCCTACAGGGTACCCATGCTGCAGCAGTCTCCTCCTGAAGGACTGCACCTCGTGGAAGGGCTCCATGCTGCAGCAGTCCATGAGGACTGAAGCCTGTGAGAAGGACTCACATTTGAGCAGTTCTACTATGGGAGGGACCCTACACTGGAGCAGTAGAAGAGTGTGAGGAGTCCTCCCTGAGGAGAAAGAAGCTGCAGAGACTGTGTGTGATGAACTGACCACAACCCTCGTTCCACATCATGCCCCTGTGCCACTGGAGGGGAGGAATCAAAGAATTTGAGAGTGAAGTTAAGCCTGGAAAGAAGGGAGGGGTGAGGGAAGGTGTTTTTAAAATTTAGTCTTATTTCTCATTATCCTACTCTCGACTTTGATTGGCAACAAATTAAACTCGTTTCCCTGAGTCGAGTCTATTTTGCCCATGACAGCAATTGGTGAGTGATCTCTGTGTCCTTGCGTCCACCAGGTGAGTGATAGAGAAGCTTGGTGGGCACCTGGTGTCCAGGCAGGGTTAACCCACCACAGATGGGAAAAGGTCAGAGGAAAAGCTGTACCAGTTACACCACCAGTACAGCAACTTTGTATTCTGCTTTACCCAGAGAGACTAAGGGGGAAGAACTCCAAATAAAGAATGCTCTTCTCAGTGACTGTCCTCTACACACAGTCAATTTCAAATATTAACAGCACAAGTTCTGAAGAACCTTCTAATCTACAGAGTATCTATTTTTCATTCCTGAATTTTTGTTAGTTGTTGACAAACAAAAGACAACAACAATTTCCAAATTCAACGTAAGACATTTTCAATTGTTAAACCAACAGCTGTATGAGGAGAACTGGTCAATGATCCTAAGGACAATAAACCATATGAAGAATGAAAGTTCTGGTACACAGGGAAAACCCAAGACAGCACAACCCTAAGAATTTCTAAGCATACCAACACAATCGCTGTGAAAAAACCCACAAACAAACAAACAAAAATCCCCACCAGACAGTAGTACCTTTCTCTGTCTCAGGTCTTTGCTTCCATAAGCTGCAGATACCAATGTAATTATCACACTGTAGACTAGAGCTCACAATTAGGAACACAGGATCTGAAGTCAGGTCTGAATCCTGCAGCTTACTTACGTAAGAAGTATTTCTGAACTGCCATAAGAGATACAAAGTCAAAGACCAAAAAAATATGGCTTATTCTGAGAGCCTATCAACCAAAAGAAAAAGATAAATGGAAATGCAACCTTTTGGATTCTCAATTCCAAACTGCTGTAGGTGAGAAGTATATTCTCGCAGCTTTTGCTAAGATCAGAAAGTGCCCAAATTATAAATCAAGACACACACTCGGTCAGGTATTCATCTGCATGAAGATTTCATGAAAAATTAAAAAGGAAAGAACAGAAGGGGGAAAACTGCAGCTGACGAAACAAATGTTTCAGACGGCAAAACCCAAACCAGTATGTTTTCAAGGAAACAAAACTATTTTGGCTTGCAGGGACATCTAGTGGCAAATTTCATTATTTACATTCCTGGTGACAACTGTGAAACTAACTACAATAACAGAAAGGTTTCATTACTTCAGGAGAGCTCTTTCCTTGAAATCACTAATAGAAATCACTAATCACTAATAGAAACTTGTAATATTTAACCTAATCACATTCTTACAATAAAAACCTCCCACTTCCCCCACGCAATTAAAAAAAAAAAAAGGAAATATGTAAATCATACAATAAATCCTGGCAGTGAACTGTCAATAGCAAACATTGCTTAGGGCTACAGATATCTGTATGTATCTGTAAATATATTACTATGTATATATATTACTATGAAGAATTTCTTCAGTGCTAATGGCTTGCACTACTTGCTTATAGTCAATGAATGGACCTTCAGTAATCTTCAAAATTAGACAAGACTACACCCATCATTTCTGAGAAATACTTTAAGGAACACAAGTTAAAATTTCTTTCTCTCTTGGAGATCTGTTCATGAGCTAAAAAAACAAGCCATAAAACATAATTTAAAGAAACTAAAACCACATCATACCTAAAATTAATCCTCCACATACACATTGGGCAAATTTTATCAAGTTACAGAACTGAAAATTTGTATCAATTACCCTATATTTATACTATGAAACCTTACATAGTTTTGTGCAGGCATAAATAAAAAGGTATTGCTACAGGAACCTGAAACACAGGAACTGCACTCTCAGTAGCTAAAACAGCAATATTTATTTTAGAATATCTAGCTAAGTCAGTCAGTTACATTTCCAAGCATCACGTGTTTTGTTTTTCATCTCCAATTTCTTATTTTCATACAGAGAGAAACATGGCTTAAAGACCTACTTCACACCTCTCTCTTCTTCATATCTACACATTGTGAAAAGGACTTTCTTCTTTTACAAGACGTTTCAGCTATATTATTTTAACCTTTTGTTTGCTACAAGCACTTTAAAAGGCAACAATGCCTGCATTTAGAGAAAAATATGAACATATCAACATAAATACGTTTATTTTTATTGTAATCTGTTTACAACAATGCGGCTTCCTTCTAGCTTACATGGTATAACCAGACTACATGATTTCAGCATGTACTGGTAATTCACCTGGGAGACATATGTAACTCACTCATGGCACTGCTTTTTCTACCACAGCCACACTTAAAGCATGTAAATTCATCATATTCAAACACCATTTTAAACTGATGATACAATGAATGTAATTTTGCAAGTACTGATTAAACAAAATAACAGTATTTACCCTTGTGCTGTGTTTTGTTCAAGCAGTAAAAATCTCAGTAAAATCTGTGGAAAGCCAGACAGCTGTTTCACACAATCGAGTCAGCGAAGGTCTTGTGAAACAACAATTTGCCACAAAGG